AAAAAAAAAAAAAAATAAATCATTAAAAGTTAACAAAACCTCTAGATGATGAGAATACAAGAAGGCTGGCCTGCGCGCACACGGAATTTTCAAATAGGATTAAACTGTTTTGAGATATACCTCGCATATGTGAACAGATGTCCTACGTGGGCAGCTGGATGATTTTCCCAGTCTGAACGCCAACTGGGAAGCAGCTCCCAGATCAAGAAAGCACCCAACCCGTGGGTGCTTCTGGCACATTCCCAGAACTGGCCAGCAGGGGGCGCTCAAGCCATTCAGTTCCTTGCTAAGTAGTTTTTTTCCTGCTTGGAATACATGGCCTGAGGCTAATACCGCGCACTTGGGGATGGATGTCCTTCAGCGCCACCACTTTTTCTGCAGCTGAGTCCCGCAGAGGTTTTACAGTTTGCAGTCTTCAAGGAAGGCACTGGCATGGACTTCATTAAAAAATCCTGGGGTCAGCTGGGCGGGGGTGGTACAAGCCGTTTAATCCCAGTACTCAGGAGGCAGAGGCAGTTGTTTCTGAGTTCGAGGCCAGACTGGTCTAAAGAATTATAAGACGCTGGGCAGTGGTGGCGCACGCCTTTAATCCCAGAACTAGGGAGGCAGAGCCAGGCGGATCTCTGAGTTCGAGGCCAGCCTGGGCTACCAAGTGAGTTCCAGGAAAGGACAGCCAGGGCTACAGTGTGAAACTGTCCCCCCCCCCCAAAAAAAAAAAAAAAAAAAACACACACACACACAAGGAAAAGTTAAAAAAAATTCTGGGTCCAATCTCAAGTAATCAGGCTTAGTAGCACTGGCTAGTTCTATGTCGGCTTGATACAAGCAGGGGTCATTTGTGGAAAAAATAATCCTTTATTTCTTATATGCATTGGTGTTTTGCCTACACGTCTGTCCTGAGTGAGTGAGTGAGTATGTGCGTGCGTGCGCACCAGATCCCCTGGAACTGGAGTTATATAAACAGTCCTAAGCTGCTGGGAATTGAACCCTGGTCCTTTGGGAAGAGCAACCAATGCTCTTAAAGCCCAGCCATCTCTCCAACCCAGGAGGAATGTTAACTGAGAAAATGCCTACGTAGCATTGGCCTGTGGGCAAGTCCGTGGAGCGCTTTCTTGATCGATGTGGAAGTACCCAGCCCATTGTGGGTGGGGCCACCCCGAGCAGGCGGTCCTGGGTGCTGTGAGAAAGCAGCCGAGCAAGCCAGGGGGAAGAAGCCAGTGAGCAAGGACCCTCGATGACCTCTGTCTGAGTTCTTGACTGTGGGTTCCTGCTCTGACTTCCCTGTATGATGGACTGTGATCTGAAACAACCCTTTCCTCCCCGAGTTTCTTTTGCTCATGGTACCTTATCACTGCAGGAGAAACCCGAAGACGCCTGCGGAGACATCTAGCCAGCCCCCGCCCCACGCGCCCATTTTTCCTGATTTTTATTTATTTTTTATCTGTGTGAGTGTATGCCCGTGTGGGTGCCTTAGAGGCCGGAGAAACCATCAGACTCCTCAGAGATGGAGTTACAAGCATTTGTGAACATCCTGCCGCAGGTGCTGGGACCAACACTGAGCCAAATGTATCATTTCCCCCTACCTTTTTTTTTTTTTTTTTAAACAACAGGGGTCTTACTCTGTAGCCCAGGCTGGCCATGAACTCCAGCAATCCTCCTGCCCCAGACTCTGGAGCACTGTCACAGACAGGCATGTATCACTCTCTGCTTAGCTCGCTGTGACTGACACCAGGCCCTCTGCCCTTAGCCCACTCCTGGCTATTCCATTGCCAGAGCACAGCTAACACAGGCACCTTCGCGTGGGGCAGCTGAGAGCTGTGGTGTTCCTCTTCCTGTGGTTTTCAGCTTCCCCACCGCCCTGCAGCACTGAAAGGCGGGACTTCCTGCCTGGCTTGCCTCCGCGGCCCCCAGGCTGCTGGCTTTCTGCTCAGTCTCTGGGAACGCCCTCCTATTTCCACTAACACCCACCTCCCATGTCCAAATGCCCCAGGCCAGCGCATCTCA